CTCCCGGGTCTGCTGGAGATACGTGGTCTGGGGATACGTGGAGCAAAGCCGCGGAGCACGCGGGCAGCGTCCTCAGAGGCTTTGCTTCCCATCTCCCTGGTATGCTGGAGACCAACAGACCAGGGAGACGGGCAGCAAACCCCGTTTTTAACTGCGGATCCGACATAAGTCAGATCCGCGTAACTCGGGGACTCCCTGTACTAACATCTGTAGTAGAAAATGACCCTATCTGCCATACAGGGAAAGATGATAAACAAGCGTACCCGTTATCACTTAAAAAGTATCTTCAAAGATAATTCAGCAATCTTCAGCATGGATTGACTAGTCAACAAGGATCCCTTCAGCTATTCTATCAAGGAAAGCATTCACTGAGGCTATGTAGCTATTATTTTTATTAATAAATAATAATAATAATGATAATAACTACTGATTATATTATTGCTTAAGCTTACATTTGCAAGGGAGAAATCAAATTATATGAGATTATTTTTTAATTAATAATTATCCAGAGCCTCAATTTTATAATTTAGCATTTTGGCTGTACTTTTATAATAAATAATAATGCAATAACTTGACATGCATTACCCAGCAGATCTGAGAATGAGCTTGACTGGGATTGTAATGCTTGGTTTTATGCTATATGCTATCCCTTTGTATAATAAAGTCTCTGACAAACAGCAAACTTGGCATATTAAAAAAAAAATGTACAGACATATTCTGGGGTTTATACTTCATACTGTTTCTATGTACCTCACTCTAGTACTTCAGATATTTCTGCTGAGTTTGTTCCAGCAACTATGCCAAGTAGGCTATTAACACAGCTGGATGGACACGTCATGTTGGTTGGAGGGTCTCTTTACAATACCATTTTGCTAGGTTTGGCTAATTATTTAGGTATCTGCAAAAACAGTATGTTATCAAACTACAAAAAGATGGGTGCTATGTTTTAGAAACAACTATGGTAATGCAAATTACTACTTTTCGGGGTACATGAATAGCATAGAAAGCCATGAGAGACCTGTAATTTTCCATGCATTATAGTTATCTAAAATTAGCTGTATCATCGCTATCATTCTGAACCAGAACTCATTTTAATAATCTGGTAATTCTGCAGGTTTAATGGACTAGGAATATAGTCAATTCTGAATACTGAAAGTTTCTGCCTTTTCAGCTAATGAGTGTGCTACTGAAAGACAGGAAAGGGAATCTGATTTGCAAAGCACAGCCACTGAATTATTCAATTAGTACAAGGTGGCACACCGTGTTCAAGAAGACCAACTACTTGAACAAGACCCAATCCCATGGAATATATTTAGTAGTTGAGCATTCAGTCCTGAAACTGTTACACATATGGATCTATACTTTATAATAGCAGCCCCATTGACTGCAATTGAAGTACAGGCAGTCCCCGGGTTATGTACAAGATAGGGACTGTAGGTTTGTTCTTAAGTTGAATTTGTATGTAAGTCGGAACTGGTACATATTGTAGGGGAAACTCTAGCCAAACATTTCTCCAGAGCTCAGTTTTATTCTCCCACACCTCACTTCCCTCAGGCCTTTATTCTCAAGCTGAGGTGTCTGCTGAGAAAAGCCGCTCCGCGTCTCCCTGGTCTGCTGGGGGGGGGGAAGGGGTGCTAGCTTCGCATCTCCCTGGTCTGCTCGGAGGAAGCAGCTAGTGCGGGGTTGCCTCACCCCGTTTGTAAGTAGGGATCCGATGTAAGTCGGATCCATGTAACCCGGGGACTGCCTGTACTTAAGTGTCTGATCTTGCAGACACACTCAGGTCTTTATAAAGGACACTATGGCTACGTCTACACTGGCCCCTTTTCCGGAAAGGGCATGTTAATTTCAGCTATCGTAATAGGGAAATCCGCGGGGGATTTAAATATCCCCCGCGGCATTTAAATAAAAATGTCCGCCGCTTTTTTCCGGCTTTTAGAAAAGCCGGAAAAGAGCGTCTACACTGGCCCCGATCCTCCGGAAAAAGCGCCCTTCAAAGTAGGAATAAGATCCTCCGGAAAAGGGCGCTTTTTCCGGAGGATCGGGGCCAGTGTAGACGCTCTTTTCTGGCTTTTCTAAAAGCCGGAAAAAAGCGGCGGACATTTTTATTTAAATGCCGCGGGGGATATTTAAATCCCCCGCGGATTTCCCTATTACGATAGCTGAAATTAACAAGCCCCTTCCGGAAAAGGGGCCAGTGTAGACGTAGCCTATGTACGAAACCCATTCAATGTGTTCCAACTTCATTGCCCTTAGAGGGTTTTTTTCCCCCTTTCTAGGATAATGTCTTTTTAAAAAAGATTAAATGTTTAGATTAGAGAAAAAAGGAAATAATTGTATTCTTAAAACATTTAGTCCAATGGTTAATATGCAATGAATACATTTTTTAAATATAGAAGATAAATGCACATAGTTGGAATTATAAAATGAAACTGATATCGTATATACATTTAGTTTTCATTAAAACACTATTAATTTAGTGACCAAAAGCTACTGAAACTAAAACTTTTCCACTGGAAAGATGTGGCAGAGTCCAGGCAAATATGCTTCAAATGTAGCTTGGAGGGGCCACTGTTAAGGGTGAGAGGATACCTCACTTCTTAGTTTTTCTACTAAGACCACCACAAAGTGTGTCAATTGTTATCAGTTGTGATATGGATACCTGAATTGTTTTTGTCCACTAGGAATTGGATCATTTCACATTGGCCACTGAACAGTAATGACTCAGACAAACTATTTAGCATTGATTTTAATCAGTAATCTAGAAGGACTAAGTAAACCATAGGAAATTTCCTATGGCCCAACTTCCATCTGCTTAGCAGTAAATAAACAGCAAAAAGTACTTAATAAATGACATAAAACACACTGAATTTTTGTTAAGAAGAGCAATCACTTGCATAGCAGGTTTAAAGTATGAAAAGGGAACTTTAACATTTAAAATGAAGTGTTTTTGTTTGAAATACTGATGTCAGTTTGTCGTCATAAATGAAAGCAAAACGTTAGTATGAACTGTGCACAATGTGATTTAAACAACAAAACTGAGTCACACAACAGATAATCTGATGCTATTTCACTATCTGAAGAATCTTTTCACACTCTCATTTACTGGATTCTGGTCTCCACAAATCAATAGCAAGGACACTTGTATGACCTTTGGACAAGCACTGTGTATGATGCAATACAGTTATATTATTTAAAATAAGGTCGTAGCGAGAAATAAGCTTTAGAAGTACAGATCTAGTAGTCAAAGAACGAGGAGTAGAAGAAAATGGGAAAGAAGTGGATTCTATAAAAGTTACTGGGGCTACTTTACACCTGAAAACATAACTGAACAAAGAAATATCAATTCATGTGTCTTATGGCCTATTTATTCAGAAAAAACATCAATGTGAAAAACAAGTGTTAATTATAACTTTATTATTAGCTTGTTAATTTCAAACAAACCCATATGATTTTAAACATGTCTGTAATTACTACCATACCTGCATATTCATAAAACCAAGCCAGGCACTTCTTGCTTGAAAAATGTTCCTCTCCACTTATCACTTTACCAGAGGCTTGTGATCTGCAATAGCTTATAAAAATACACATACAAAAATGCCTAAAATGTTACATTCACTGTTTCGCATTTTTTTAAATGACTACTTTCTATTAAATTCCAAATACTTCATTACTAACCAGAACTACATCAAATTGTCTTTGTGAATAGTCAGCATATATAGAATTTGTTTTAGTGACAGAAGTTTGACACAGGATTTGGAATTCTGCAACTTCTTCATGGCAACATTAAAAATGAGATTGTCAAGCAAGAAAAGAAGATCCTAATCTGTGACATCCTGAGCACATTTATAACCCACTAAAACACTGCAAATTCATTGGGACTTCAGGTCATTCAGCACTTTGTAAAATCAGGCCTTAAATCACACTGCACTTAATGCTACGCTACACAAAAGCATCTATCAATTTGAGATTTTAAAAGGAAGTAATTGGGAAGAAATACAGTGAGTCTTGGTTATTTTTCCACCTAGCTTAATATACTTAACTTTTTAGAAATAAAAATACTGGTACTAATACAAAACATTAGAACAGTCTACTGGTAATCTTCTGCTATGGTGAAAACTGACTACTCAATTGATATTGTTTTCTGTATTTTAGCTAGTTTCTCATTCATGACTACCTGTTACTTTTCACCCCATAACTACTGAATTTACTTAAATTTCTCACAAGAAATTATTTTCAAAGACTTCTTGAAAGTCTGGAAAACTTTAGTCAGTTGGTTCTTTTCCCACTCAACCCTGTCATGCTCAAATAATTCTAATAGTTTAAAGACACAATTTCTCTTTACAGAAACTATACTGGTTAGTTCCTCATATTATTTTCATGTGCATATATTTATAAAATTTAATTATTACTCTAATCTATTTATCTGATACTGAAATATAAATGAACGTTGAAAAGGGACAATTTTAAATATTTAGAAGACCTATGATATATTCATTCAGTTTAATGAAATGCTTGTCACTTGTTTTGGATATTCTTGACTTCCTTGTTTTTGTATTTTTTTGTGAACCCTACTAGCGTCCCGCCATTGTGCTATGCATATTGTAACATAACCTGTAAGATCAAACTCAGACTTCCAAATCTACAGACTAGCAGGAGCAATGGAACAAAGAGACAGATATTGGGAGCAATTCAACCTCTACAGTAAATATCATATATAGTTATGCAAAACAGAAGAGGATTGTAACAAGCAGGCTTGTAAGGTTGCCCCCTACAACAAGCCAAACATGGAGGCCATGCCACTACATGCAAGATATGTCTGTGACCCACTGTTATGTCAAGCTGTCATTGTCCCGTGGGCTGCACTGAATGGCTGTGCCACCCTGCCGCAATACAACGCCCGTATGAGAGCAACACTATGACAAGTGCAAACACGCCCTGGCACGATGGGATGTCAAATGATGTCACGACGTGAAGACCCACGTTGCCAGGCCACAACAGGTTTCAGGTCCTCTCTAAGCTGTGACCCCCTCCCTCCGCCCCAGTGCTGCCGACACGTGCCCAGTGTCACTGTGCAGCGCTGACACCCCGCTGCCCAGCAACGCCGCAGCCTAGCGACGCCGCAGCAGGGACACGGGGGAGGGGGCGGGGATACGGTACCTGCCCAGTTTACATTTCTTGAGGCCGGTCTCATCCGCTACCGCAGCCGCCGCGGATTTTCTCTTCTTCTTCACCGGCATCTTCCTGCCTCGGGGAGCGGGCGGGGCCGCCCCGCTGCAGGCAGCCGGGGCCCTCAGGCGCGTCCCCCCAGGGCACAGCCCCAGGCGCCTCCTAGGGACGAGGAGAGGAGCCCCGTGTTCCCTTCTCTCACAAGCCGCCCGGGCCTCGCCGCTGGCGGCCGCCTCTGGCCCCGGCGGGGGA